TAAATGATTGCTCTAAAACTTGTACATTTAAAAAAAAAATTACATTTTGAATACTGCCATTTTTCTATTTAACCGACGATATCTATATATATATATATATATATAACTCAAAGGTGACTGACATAGTGATCTATCAACGCACAGCCCAAAACACTTAATCGTACGTATCGGGCTGAAATTTGGCATGCAGGTAGATGTTATGACGTAGGCATCCGCTAAGAAAGGATTTTCATTACTTCTACCCCCAAGGGAATAAAATAGGAGATGAAAGTTTGTATGAAACTTTGTCAATTTTAATCGGGCTGAGACTTTGCATGCATAAAGCTACTATGACGTCGGCATTCCCTAAGAAAGTATTTTGATAAATTCCACTTCTAAGGGGATAAATTAACGCGAGCGAAGCCGCGGGCAAATGCTAGTATTATATATACATCTGGCTACCCTTTAATCAACTTGATCCGAGTGGCGGGTAAATGCGACTGATTGCAGAAACCTCCGAGTGTGTTCAACTTTGGATTCATTTTGTGCGATTAGTTAATGAAATTGTAATTGTGATTTGTTGTGTTAATCTTAACGGAGGCTGTGCAAATCTAAACTCTAAGTGTATAGCATTAACGGCCATTTGGACTCCCATTGGGGTGATGTTAATCTTTTAAGTCCTGTTGACGGATTGGAGCAATGTAGCAGTGTCTGCTTTTGGACAGTACTTTAATTTTTGTATTTTGAATAAATTAACTTTGTAAAAAAAAATATAACTTTATTTTTATTGTCGTGTGTATACATCTGGGTGACAATAAAAAAAACTATATGACATATATTTTGCCTGATTGTCCGATGATAACAATACCGATAACAAACTAAATTAATCCTCGAAGGAGTGGCTTGGTACCAGTATATAATCACAATAAAGACTACATTTGACAATGCCTCTATCTACGCCATCTGAGGTTATCGTAATAGTATACGTTCCTTGTACGTTCATCTTTTTTACTAGCTTACTTATTATACATAGAAAACACTCAGACCGAAACAAACAATCATACTCATGAATACAAATGTTTATGCCGTGCGAGGAATCGAACCCGCGACCGTAAAGCGGTGTACTAGACCGCTAGACCACCGAGGTCATCAAAATGGTAGCTGAATTCAAGAAAATAATATAAATCGATTAAACAACACATTATTAACAATGATGGCGTGTTTTTATTGTTGTTATTACTGCGACAGTAAACTTTACTGGCCAAATTGTTTTAATAGTCAATTAAAACAATCGGACAACAAACTTTTGGATAAACCGTATCGTTGGAATTTCAACTTTAACCTAATTGTTAACGATACTATAAGATTATACTGTGGTCCCGTTTGTTTATACTATATAGCACTTAATGAATGGATATTTATTTCTCCATAAATTTAACATATTATTATGTCACAGCAGCATTATCTTCTGATAAAATACAGTAGGTGTTTGTAACAAAACTCCTACGAAACGGCTGGAGAAATTCTTATGAAATTGTGTGTAATTGAGTAGCTCTAATATAGCATTATCTAATATAATAAAATTAACTGTCACGTGACAAATTCACTAGGAATTTATCACGATGGTTTCCAGAAGAAACCGCGTGGAGGTCGACCTAATGACCCCTTACCTCTATCATAAGAGTTTATAATGCACTTACATGAATAAAGAAATTGTGAATTTGAATTTGTTAAAAAAAAACTGACACACTACAAGCAGCCGAGCGAATCAGAAACGGTCATCAAAAATATAGTATGGAACATTAAATCAACAATTTGCATATAAATCTTGCAATCAGTGGATTTTTACTTATTTCCAATTGCAATGTAATCTCGTGATGCAGCTGCGCAGATGTCACCGCCATCAATGTGGCCCGCTGAGATGCATCTTACAATATTTATAGCTTGCACACGACAGTGTATATGTTTGGTAGGCAAGTACCTACGGTAGCAGATGTCTGAATGTTTAATATTAAAGCATAATAGCTTAACGCCTTGATACAGAAGATTATAGATCTACCAAAATAATGCTGAATATCTTGAAAGTTTATACAAATTCATAATTATAATCTCAGGACAATTCTTGCTCATTCTTCTTGTGATGAGTCTGCATTCCGAATGAGCGGTAGAATCAATAAACTGAACTATTCAAAAGTACTTATATTAATAGAATAGAATAGAACAGAAATTCATTTACTCAAATAAACTTAATTTAAGCACTTTTGAATAGTCAACATTTTTTTCAAATATACCGCTTATTCGGAAAACTGTTTCATCACAAGAAGAATAAGCAAGAAACTTAAGTTTATTTGAATAAAGATTATGTCTATATGTATTTCTAATCACACATCGCCATCTAGACCCAAGTTAAGCTAGCTTAAGCTTGTGTTATACTAGATGGTTGCGCCATATAACATTACATTTTTGTTTATCATTGTATAATTATTATTAGTAATAGTTTGTTCAAATAAATAATTTAGCGTGGTACGAAACGTTAATTTTCTAAGGATTGGCACTACACTAATTCCTTTATCCTCTCCTATTCCCGCACATACCTTTGTTTTAAGTGCGAGCGAGAAGATTCGCTTGTATCGAAAGTGACATATCGCGCTCGCGCGTCACTGTAAAATTGAACGCTGAAGTTGACATTGAATTCCCGCCTTGATCGCGCTTAAGATCAAGTTTTTTTGTAATTCGTGATAATTACTAAACATTTTAATCCACCGCATCGCTCTAGTGTGTTTAAGACCATTGTGTTTGTGCCATTGTTGTGAAGCAAGTAGCTGGGACCTGGAGACACCGATAGCCGCCGCACTGCAACCTACAATTCAAAGGTACTGTGCCTCCTTCCTTACCAGAACTGTCTTTCTTTGTGTTCCATCCTCACAAGCAGTTCTCAATCACCAACCTAACAGTGTATCGTGTCAATCCACGTACCCGTCAGATTATTTAGATACAGTCCACTTAAATCAAAATCAAACAATATTTATTTCACCCGCGCCGCCATTATTTTAGTGGTCCATTTCGAGCCGAATATTGTAATTATTTGGTTAAACCACACTAGATATTTTATTTCTAGGTATATTTCGTACAAACGCATACAATTAATTTGTATTTTACTACATCATTTTCTTTATTTCGTTATATCGATGTTTCTAGAATCTCGTAGGTACATGTAGGTACAACTACCTGATAGATTCATATCAAATTCCGTGTCAACTCAATTTCGCATCGTAAGTAATAGTAGGTATTTACGATTTGTTGTAATACTCCCGCATTGTTTTAACCTAACTATAGGTAAAACAACTTTATTTTTGTAGTCACCGCATTTATATTCGTAGTTATCAATTACTTTCGCGCCATTGTAGGTAGTCTATCTACCTACATATTGATATCCTCAGGCCCCCTTAGGGTAGGCTGAGACGCATACGATATTATAGCTTAATATTATCGCTTTCTACCGGTCTACTATTGAATAGGTTAGCGGCATAGACTTTGAATTTAGTTCGCTGTAATAAACAAGACATTGCTTACGCTGTAATAAACAGACATCGCTTTGTTTAATATAAATATTTGACAGATTCTTATCACGAGTACGTTGTGGTTTATTATTTCGTATTTTAATTGTAAGTACATTGTGTACTGCCGGCTCTCATTGCACCGCACCGCACCGCACCGCACCGCACCGCACCGTACCGTACCGCACCGCACGTAACTTGTGTAGGTATTTATCTGTTCTCCACCGCACCGCTTTCTTATATATTTATTAGTACAAACAAGTTTTTGTATTTATAGGTTGTTCATCATGTCGGATGTCAATCAGTTACCCCTGTTACTCGCTAAAAAGGATTTAATGTTTTCTCGCATACAAAGTATTACAGATAGGACTCATAATCTTTCTAGTGAATATGAAAGAGAAACATTCTTGTGTGAGATCGAAACAGTTGACAAATTACGCTCGGATTTCGAAACTATGTTAGATAAAATAAATACTTTAGAATCTAAATTGAATCCTAAATATGTTATTAATTATCAACCGCTCATGGCATTTGATGATTTGTATTGCCGTATAAAACGAGCCGCAAGATCGCTAGAGGTACCGCCTGATGTCAAACATCATCAGCATAATAGGGATGAGGACAGGCCTCGTCTGCCCCCTACCAATTCCGGAATACTCAGGAGATCTGAGATCCTGGTCTTTATTCTATACAGCTTACAAAAGCATAGTTCATGACAATCCTAGATTGTCAGATTCGGAAAAATTACATTATTTGATGGGTAAACTGACAGGTAAAGCTCGTTCTGTATTTGCCGGTATAAACCCTTGTTCTGAAAATTATAAGGTCATTTTAGATGCTTTAATTAGTAAGTATGAAGATAAGAGACTGCTCGCATCATCATACCTAGATCAAATATTCGAAATGAAGCCCTTTCATTCATCAAATATAAATAATTTAGAACAATTTCTCGATAAATTCGCAACTTCAGTATCCGCGTTAAATAACTTAAAAATTAATAATCTTTCGGATTTTATATTTTTGTATACCGCGTTAAAGAAATTAGATTCCGAAACCGCCCGCGCTTTCGAACTAGATAAACGGGGATCCGACATCCCATCTTTCGATACATTAGTGTCATTTGTGCGCGATCACATTAAAATATTGCAACGCACTTCTTCAAGCAACCAAGAAGTTACTAAGAAAGTTGTCGATCGTCGTATGGATGCGGCATCGAAAGTTATGCAACATAAATCTACATACTCTTATACTACAACCGCTAATCCGCAGCCTAAGTGCTCATTGTGTAACATAAAACATGGACATTTATATAAATGTCCAGGTTTTCGAAATTTAACGCCTAATGATCGTTTCCGATTTGTTAAATCTAATTCCTACTGTATTAATTGTCTAAGTAAAAATCACCGTGTATTTAATTGTAACTCAAATAGTCGATGTCACAAATGTGACTCAAAACATCATACTATGCTCCACTTTGAGCATAGTAATGCCACCTCCACCGCGAACATACTCAGTGGTAGTTCGGTCACAGCGACTACGTCACGCGCAGTGGATCTATCGTCGCACTCGTCGCACACGCAGCCCGCTGTTGGCGGCGGCGGCGGCGGCCGACCGGCTCCTTGCACGGACCGCGCCCCGCACTCACCCCCGCCGACACCCGTCGTATCCCGCGCATCGGAAGACGTAGCATTATGCACGTTATCAGACAATGTTAATAAAAATATGCCTCGCGTACCTACTACAGTATTGTTAGCCACCGCTCGTGTTTTAATGATCGATAGAGACGGTAACGAACATTATATTAGAGCATTATTGGACAGTGCTTCTCAAAGTAATTTTGTAACTAGGGATTGTTGTAATCGCTTGGGATTGCAATGTATACAGAATACAACCTTTTCGATTAAAGGTATAGGAGGGACAACAAAGGCCACACAGGGTTCTGTACATATAAAATTCTTTTCACGGTTTAATCGTAATATTAAATTTGATATGGAATCCTTAATTGTAGATAAAATAACCGAACGTTTACCGACTGTTAGTGTCGATATTTCATTATTTTCAAATTTTAAAAATTTGCCTTTAGCCGATGATAGTTACGCTACTCCTGGGAACATTGACATGTTAATCGGTGCCTCAATTTTCCCGCATTTAATATTGTCCCGTAAGGTTAAAGGTCAACCCGCATACGTCTCGCCGTATGCTATTGAGACCGTATTAGGCTTTGTTATTGTAGGTTCAGCTCCCGCTAGATCAAATACCGATACTTCCGTGTCTAATATGTTAGATAATTGTAATTACACTACCACCGCGCATTGTTGTGTTACCGAACCCACGATGGAATCCGTTCTATGTAGATTCTGGGAAATGGAAGAGGTGAATGTTGCACCGATTCTCAGCCCGGACGACAAGGAGTGTGAAGCTATTTATGCTGGCACTACCACTCGCGAGGACGACGGTCGTTATACCGTCGCGCTTCCCTTCAAGGGTAATGCACATTCTCTTGGCGACTCGCGTCGATTAGCCGAGAAATGTTTCTTTTGTCTCGAACGCAAAATGCAGGCTTCGCCTGAACTCAAGCAAGCCTATGATGACGTCATTACGGAGTATTTAGATAAGAGTTATATTTCACCCGCACCCGTTAATGATGATAGTAATGCTCCTTCGTATATAATACCGCACCATGGAGTTATTCGAAAGGATAAACTCACGTCTAAATTGCGCGTCGTACTCAATGCTAGCGCTAAAACTAGCACGTCCGTATCTCTCAACGATCTTCTTTATAATGGACAGAATTTACAACGCAATTTATTTGATATTATAGTTAACTTCAGATTATTTTCAGTAGCTCTCTCTGCCGATATTAGGCAAATGTTTCTTTGCATTCGTATTAGAGAGAGTGACCGCAGATTTCAACGCATATTGTATAGATTTTCGCCTGACGAACCTCTCCAGGTTTATCAGTTTAATCGCGTTTGTTTTGGACTCAAATCGAGTCCGTTTCTTGCACTGCGTACTATTAAGCAGTTAGCCACCGACGAAGGCGAATCGTTCCCAAAAGCTAAGGAAGCGGTTCACACCGGTCTGTACATGGATGATTTAGTATATTGTCTAGATAGTGAAGATGAGGCTATCGTCACAGCTGCTGAGATCATCTCACTCATGAAGGCCGGACAATTTGATCTTGTCAAATGGACGAGCAATTCGCAAGTAGTTTTAAATTCCATTCCGTCAACACATCGACTTTCGTCGGTCGTAGAATTCGATGTGTCTGATACGCATAAAATTCTGGGTCTGTGCTGGTCTCTAGCTCAGATTTATTTAGTTTAAAAATTTGCACGCCCGCTGAAAAGTGTACAAAACGCACCATTTTATCTTGTGTCGCAAGATTGTGGGATGTAATGGGTTTCGTAGCACCCGTTATATTATTTGCCAAACTTCTTGTCAAAGAGTTATGGTTATGCAACTGCGATTGGGACGACGCCCCCCCTGACGTTATCGTCAGACAATGGTCACGTTTCAGGGATGAGCTCCCAGTCTAGATCAAATTAAATTACAGCGCCATGTTGACATCACAAAACGCAGTGTGGTGAACATCATTGGCTTCGCAGACGCTAGTGAAAAGGCTTATGGTGCTGTTGTGTACTTCCACGTCGAGAATGATGGTGTGAGTACTGTGCATCTTATAAGTGCAAAATCTAAGGTTGCACCCCGCAAGGTCGTGTCGTTGGCCCGACTCGAACTTTGCGCAGCGCTTTTGCTCGCTAATTTAATTAATAATATTGTTACCGCTGTTAACAACCGCTATCCAATTAAGGCAATACACGCATTTTCTGATTCAACAGTTGCTTTATGTTGGATCCACGCATCGCCCCACAGGTGGGATACTTTTGTCGCGAATAGAGTTTCTAAAATTCAATCTCTGCTTTCACCGCACAATTTTTATCACGTGTCTGGTTCGGACAATCCAGCCGACTGTCTATCGCGAGGGCTTACTCCTGCCCAAATAATTCACCACCCCCTATGGTTCAACGGCCCGCAGTGGGCTAAATCCACCTTTTCGGAATGGCCAGTCACCACTTTCAATCCTTCTGCTGTTATGGACCCGCCTGAGGAGAAGAAACTCTCCTTTGTTACTCGTACACCGCCAGAAGAATCGGTTTTCATCGCTCTGGCAAATCGCTTTTCTTCTTGGTCCAAGCTTCTTCGCTGCGTAGTTTATGTCTGTCGTTTCGCAAAATTATTAACCCCGCTAAAATTCATAACCGCAGCAGATTTAGATTACGCAGAACTTGTAATCCTTCGAGAATTACAGGCTTTGTATTTTCATGGGGAAATTAACAATTTACAAAATGGAAAATTTTGTTCCCGATCACTTCAGCGACTCAAACCCTTCATTCTAGAAGGTATAATTAGAGTCGGTGGTCGTTTGAGAAATTCGAACTTGAATTTTGATCAGAAACACCCTATCGTTCTTCCCCGGAAACATCATATATTGGATTTATTAGTAGACTATCACCATAAAGTTAATTGTCATGCTGGTCCTGATTTACTGATGTCTATTTTAAGGCAGAAATATTGGATTTTATCTGCCCGCAACTTGATTCGCCACAGAGTGCACAAATGTGTACCTTGTTTTAAACTTCGTCCGAAATCGACATTTCCAGAAATGTCAGATCACAAACCCTGTCGTGTTCTTGAAACATTAAAACCATTCATGCACACAGGTACCGATTATGCTGGTCCTTTCAAAATAACTATAACACGTGGTCGTGGCATACGGTCTACTAAAGCTTATATTTGTTTATTCGTTTGTTTAACAACCCGCGCCGTCCATATAGAATTGGCAGGAGATTTAAGTACAGCAAGTTTCATGTCAGCTCTTAAACGGTTTTTATCTCGTCGTGGTCCTGTAGCTCATATCTACTCCGATAATGGCACTAATTATATTGGAGCAAAACGCACGCTTTCGGAACTTCACGCATTTTTGAGCTCTAAACATTTTAACACCGAATTTGCGCACGTCTTGTCAGAAAACCGCCTGACTTGGTTTCTCAACACTCCCGCTGCTAGTCACTTCGGAGGTAACTGGGAGACTAATATAAAAAGTTTGAAAACGCATTTGTTCAGGGTCGTTGGGGTTCAAGTTTTATCATTTGAGGAAATGATTACGGTACTCACGCAAGTAGAGGCAATCATGAATACTCGACCATTATGTCGGACTTTATCTAATGATCCGTCAGAGCCGCTTGCACTAACACCCGCACATTTTTTAAATTTTACTCCGTTGAAATATTTGCCCGCCGCAGAAATAGCTGACAGTTCTTTGATTTCACGCCACGCATTATTAGACAGATTAGTGCAAACGTTCTGGAAGCGATGGAGAGCGGAGTACCTGCACACATTACAATCTCGCGAAAAATGGAATACGCCCGTCAATCAGATGACTGTCGGAACTGTTGTAATTGTACGTACTGAAAACGCGCCACCACTTCATTGGCCTTTAGGGGTTATTGAAGAGGTCTTTCCGGCTTCTGACGGCGTAATTCGGGTTGTTCGTGTAAAAACTGCAACCGGCTCCTATTTGCGCCCGGTTGTACGTCTGTGCCCCTTACCTAGACATTAGTTTTAGTTAATACGAGTTCTAGGTTAAGGTTTAGTTTATTTTAAGTTTCTATTTTTAGGAATGGTTGCGCCATATAACATTACATTTTTGTTTATCATTGTATAATTATTATTAGTAATAGTTTGTTCAAATAAATAATTTAGCGTGGTACGAAACGTTAATTTTCTAAGGATTGGCACTACACTAATTCCTTTATCCTCTCCTATTCCCGCACATACCTTTGTTTTAAGTGCGAGCGAGAAGATTCGCTTGTATCGAAAGTGACATATCGCGCTCGCGCGTCACTGTAAAATTGAACGCTGAAGTTGACATTGAATTCCCGCCTTGATCGCGCTTAAGATCAAGTTTTTTTGTAATTCGTGATAATTACTAAACATTTTAATCCACCGCATCGCTCTAGTGTGTTTAAGACCATTGTGTTTGTGCCATTGTTGTGAAGCAAGTAGCTGGGACCTGGAGACACCGATAGCCGCCGCACTGCAACCTACAATTCAAAGGTACTGTGCCTCCTTCCTTACCAGAACTGTCTTTCTTTGTGTTCCATCCTCACAAGCAGTTCTCAATCACCAACCTAACAGTGTATCGTGTCAATCCACGTACCCGTCAGATTATTTAGATACAGTCCACTTAAATCAAAATCAAACAATATTTATTTCACCCGCGCCGCCACTAGATAATGTTTTTTTAATTATTATCATAAAATACATTACTAATAAAAAAAATTACAAACACGCAGCATATGTTCTTTTTGAACTCATGACCTTTAAGAACTATAGGTCCATTTAATATCTAACACCTATGTTATTTACAGGTTTTTTATGAAATGAATACACTTTAACCGGTAGGTTTTATATGAAACGCCGGAAATCCACACCCTTTGCCGAAATTCCTCTGTCACCAAAATAGACAGCGGCCGGACACCACTCTCGCGACAAAGGAATTAAAATTGACATTGTGGTTGAGTTGTAACCTTTAAGGGTGGATATTACTTACCCCTCTCCATACAAAACTTGTTACTATAATGTTGTGCACCACCGCTGGGCTGCTACTGAAAATCAGTGTTTTGCTCGTTGAGCAAATTTTTCACTGAGTAGCTCAACCCTTTCGTATCCTGTGGCGTCTAATATGTATTTTAATGTTTATTTTATGTGGAAGTTAAAGTGTTATGTGTTGTTTTTTTTTAAATTACTAACTATTCTTATGTGTTATTTGAATGTTGGTTGTACTCTCTTTGTTTATGTTATCGGGATACGAATAATGATTTATACCTATCTTATCTATCTATGTATAAAATATTTTTACTTTAATTCGATGAAATTTTGTAGAATACTGAATTTTTTTTCAGTATCGTTACGCTATCCTTACTAATAGTATATATGTGAAAGTAGAGATGTTTGTTACGCTGTCACGCAAAAACTACTGAACCGATCGTCATGAAATTTTGTACATATTCTTGGAGGTATTAGAATGAACATAGGCTAAAGTATCCTATGTTCCTTCTATTACATTAATAATAATAATAAACCGAAACTGAGAAAAAGAGAAAATATCTCGACCTGGCTCACGAGGTGACCGAAATGTGGGGGTTGACTTCCACCGAAATCATTCCAATCGTTATGTCGGTGAACGGTCTTATCCCAACAAGTCTGGAACAACATCTCAGACGGTTGTGATTCCGGGGCGGCTCACTCCCGGGAAAGATGTAGAAAGCGGTGCTCTTAGATTCTGCCCGCATTGTACGCCGGTTTCTCTCCCTGGGGCCCTGAACCCCGGCCGACTGTGCTTCTGCCGGGGTATGTTGCCATCTCCTCTCCTTAAGAGGGGAGATGAGAATTTAAAAAAAAAACTCTTTATTGCGCATAAAAAAATAACAAAAAATAAAGAAAGAAAAATATGCGAACAAAAGGCCTTATCGCTCAAGGCGATCTCTTACATTATATATACTCTTACATAGATTTTTCATTATTTTATTAATTTTACTTACGTTTGTTCACTTTGATAAAAGTGGCGTCACTATCTGTCTCGCTCACTCATGGCGAACATGTCCAGTATCCATCTCTCTCATAATTTTGCCGTAAAATTAAGAACCTACCAAGAACTTGTGCGAAAAAAATATTTGAACTGAGTAAAATAGGTTAGCAAAAATCGGTTTATTTGAGGTTTTTATATTTTTCCTCGTTTTTTTAGTATAAAACTATCAAGTATTGTACCATTTTACACTTCTGATTAAATGCGCGAACTTTTATTGGCATTTGCCAAGGCATTTTAGTATATTTTTTTTAAAGGAATGCCTTTCAAAATTAACAAATTTTGAAAATTTTATATTCATAGTTCAACTAATAGTCTTAATTTTGGAAAACTTGGGACATTTGTGTCGTTACTTTTGACTGTAGTTCTAGAAATGTTATTTAGGGTTATAGTTCTAAAGTTTAATTGATCAAAAATAATAAATATTAACCACAATAACCGGTTACAATTTGACAAAATTTCTAGGATTTTCTGAAATATCCATATTTTTCAAACTGCATGGGATAGTTTTTTTCTGATTTTTCTCATGATGGTTAAAATCTATTCTATCATCCCGTTTCGCCTTGACGTTGAGTTCTGGGACAATCTGTATATCATATCATCTGTTTATAGTCTTCAGAAAAGTTTCATAACAATTGATGATCTGTATTCCGAACCTCCTTAGTCTAAGCAGATTGTATCACTGGCTTACTTACTGGAGCAAAGGGCGCTTGGTAATACTGGCCACATATAAAAACATTTCCACTTAAATTTCTAAAAAAGAATAAAACAATTGAAAATAAGAACTGGAATAAAATGGACGCTCCGTATTTTTAACTATATAAAACAAGATAATTCATGATTTATTTAACATAATAAAATGATTTTTATGAAACTATACACTGTAGAGTGCGTGGCCACTAAACTATCGTCACTAACACATCGGGACGTTCCTGAGCAAAGGTGAGTAAGTTTGGTGTTACATTGCTTACTTTGGGGTGTTCGGAGTGTGGAAGACGTTCTTCCAGGTCGAAATCGTATTTCTACTTCCTTTTCCATTAATTATTTTCTTTTCAATAAATACAGTCCACTCTCCAACAATTGATTTATTGTAAAATATAATATTATATATTTTAATACATTGTATCAAGCTCTAATTTGCTACATACTTCTAACAACCTATCCATCATCTTGGGGAGTGTATGAAATATTTATAAGATGCAATTACACGGTGTTAATGAGGTCACAAAGGCCTGCATTAGATATACGAAGCAGGTTATTAAAATTGAGTACGGATTTGCCTTTCTCTTTGTCTCTTCCTTTACAAAGGTCGTATAATGTGTCTGAAATTTTTTGTGACTTTATGCATTTTTAATTAAGATTTTTACAGACACTTTTTAGTAAAAGACTTTCCTACTAATGATATTCTTTAAGGCGTATGTTTGTAAGGATAGATGCATTGATATTTATTGTTGTAATAAGAATTATCATCATCATCTGTTTCTTCTTATCCCATTTATTTGTAGTCAAATTCAAAATTCAAATTCAAATTCTAAAATCATTTATTCATGTAGGACATTTTAGCCGCTTATGAACGTTAAGTTTTTACATTATATTTTTTTTCCCTATCGTCCAGTTCGGTATATAGATCCAATTGAGAAGAACTGGCAAGAAACTCAATTGAATTACTTTTTTTTTTAAAATCCAGTTTATTTACAATGCATAGGTATTTATATAGGTGTCTATGTCTAACATTATATGAAAATCCCGAACATGAAAACTATTGCCATGCACGCTCGTCATTCAAGTAATAGGCCTTGCTCAGTAAATATGATTTAACAGATGTTTTGAATTTATTTAAGGGTAATTCCAATATATCCTTTGGTATCTTATTGCAAATTTTTATACCCATAAAAGACCTATTGTCTTTTCCTAAACGATACTTGAGGACAGCAAGTTTGTCTTTAAATCTAGTATTAATATTATGAATATTGCTGTTTTTTGGAGTCGGCGCAATATGTCATTATTTTCCATACATGCTTGTTTGCAGTCGTCCATTTCTTACCATATCCTCCTTCACACAGTCCATCCATCTCTTTTTCATTCTTCTGCCCTTAGTTATTCATTCATTCTTTATCTTATCCATTCTTGTTACACCACACATCCATCTCAACATTCGCATTTCAGTTACATGCAGTCGTCTTCATCCATCGCCTCGCATTTTTATAAGAATTCAATAGTCCAAAAGAAGATTTTTGAATTAACGTTCTGTATAAACAAAAATATTTCTCGGGCATGTCATATTTTTTAATCATTATCCCTACTACCCAATTTGACAAGGTACTTCAGTCGAGAACTGACAAGAAATAGAAATAGAAATAATCTTTATTCAAATAAACTCATTACAAGCACTTTTGAATAGTCATATTTTGATTCTACCACTCATTCGGAATGCAGATTCATCACAAGAAGAATGAGCAAGAAACTTGTGTGTTGCTCTTTTTAATAGATGTTTTTTATATAAATAATTACAGTATAACAAGTAAGAGGCATGCGATAATCAACATAGAAATCGCTACGCACTCATTATTAGTGTAATCAGATAATATTGTCAGTGCTATGGATTTAAAGTTTTTCTATAAAAACATTATTATCGTTAACGAATTCTTCAATTTTATAGTCAGCTTTTTTGCAAAGGAACTGTTTGACATTTAAATCTTTTTTCTGGTAGATTTATAACAGACTCTGGTATTTTATTGTAAAACCAAAGAAATTGCATGGGTACATTATTTTATGTATTTTTTTAAATCGGTCATTAATAATAATAATCATAGGACAATTCATACAGCGCCATCTAGACCCAAGTTAAGCTAACTAAACCTTGTGTTATGGGTACTAGATAACTAATACAAATACATAGATATTTAATTTTTTTGTAAATACATGCATATTATATATAGAAAACACCCGATACAAACAATCATACTCATGAA